TACACTTTATGATGAATCCTGGGAAGCACTTTGAGACATCTTCCTGATGTGAAAGGCATTATTTCAAATGCAAGGGTTATTATTAGTTTTATTTAGTTTATCTGTTTGTTTCTGAAATTTGTCTGCCTATAGTTTAGGACCAATTGGTACTGTTTCGGGGGAACAACTGCTCTGTTTTTTTGTTTATATTTTTTTAGTTTTGAAAGTTTCAACAATTCAGGTGCTCATGTAGCCAAAGCCAATGTGTAAGCCTCCTTCAACCAAGAGGAAACAAAGGCATATTTCCCACACTAAATTACAGGCATTGGATGCACATATAGTTATCCCATGTTCTCTCCCCCCCAGCCCCTCTCCCCCCAAGACTGACGACTGCCAAAGTATGACTATGTTTCCAACATTAGACTGCAAGATATTAGATGTTTTCCCACTGGGGCACCGGGTTTGTAAAATAATAGGAATTGCACAATTTAAAAGGTCACATTCATTTGGCTGTTATCACAGACACTGTGCTGTATTGACGGGAGTTGTTTGGTGGTAGCATCAATCATGTAAGGTTGTATAATGCCTGTACTGTCTTCCCGTGCACTAGACATAGGAGATGATGTTGGACATTCCTCAGGGGAAATGTGCATTGAAACTCTGCTCAAAGACGGGCCAAATTCAAGCATTTGTTAAATTAACCTGAACTGGTCCGAATCAATTCCCTTCAAAATCTGAACTCTGTTCACTCATCACGCCTCATCATCTGTTGAGTTGACTCCTAGGAGTGGATAATGAAGAATATGGAGATGCCACACAATTGTGCTGGAGGCTGGACTTCTGAAGCATTCCTGGGATGATAGGTGCGAAATCCTCTATTGGACGTGAATTAGGACTTACCATCATGTGGGACCATGTAGAAAAAATTGTTCCATTCCCCTTGGTGGCCATCCATCACTTTGTTGAGCACACAAGGATAACAAAACATTAAAATACTTCAAACAATATTAGTAAAACAGATGTGAGCAGTTAAATAAACATTTAGTTCTTGGAAAGTAGTTGGAGGGAGTCTGTTTAATTGTTTTAATCTAGAATTCTCTCCAGGCAAAGTCGGCATTGTAAAACAAGGGAAATTGGTTGAAATCTCTTTTTTCAGAGACAGCTGCAGAGATGGAATCAATAGGAATGATTAAAACAGAAACACAGATACTTGGGTTTAGGAGTATTGAAGGGTATGGCAAAAGGATGTGGCATTGGGATTAAAGATCTGCCCATAAATGAGTGGAACAGGCTTCATCGGCTGAATGGCCTCTTCCTGTTTTCCAATGTTCCTACATCTTTTATGCCCTTCTTACAGGAATCAATCATTGTTGTTAACATTAATATAACGTTCCTACAGATTTTATGCCTTTCCTATAGGAATCATACTTCCAGCAGTAAAAATGATGAGTGGTAGACTGGAGTTATGTCACAAATTCATGTCAGTCAATTTGTAATGGATTCAATAACTCCCACACATGCAGTGATTTGACATTGCCGTTGTAAAGCCAGCACATTGTAACATAGCCTTGTCATTAGTGCCGGAGGCTCCAAATACCAACTTATCTTCGCCAGTGAGACAATTTTGTCTTAAAACATTCGGGCGCATAGAGTTGCTGAATTCAATCATTAATGCGCAGGTCAGTTCTTAAAAAGATCGGTTTACGGTTTCCAAAGACAGGCTTTAATAATATTTCACATTTCTATGTGATCATAAATTGTAAGACAAAATAGTCACACCAGATAAACTCGACAGAATTTTGAGCCTAGAATGTGACAACAGGGACCTTGAATTAACACATTACCAGTGTTCTTATAGTACCAATGATCAACTGCTGCACAATAAGAACTATTCTTACCATAGTTCTTATGGTGCAGTGGTTGATCATTGGTACTTCAAGTAGACAATAGATCGTCTATTGATTTAGTCTCAAAGTATATTCTTTTAAATTTTGAATGGAGTGTTTGTATTATAGCATTATACTCAAAATACAGTCACATTATTTTGCAGTATATTCTGTGAAGAGCATTGAGATGTCTCGACGACATGATAAGGCACTATTCGAAATGCAAGGATTATTTTTATTTTTTATTATTAACACCTGATTGTGGTGTGGTACATGTACAGCTTCGGAATTGATTCCATTGGGTTATTGTATTTTCCCTCAGCCCGATTGAAAGTGATGCATAGGTGGCCCATTATACACCCAGCTTCTCCCTGTTCTACCCATCTACTGCTATACAACCAACTTGGCTCACAACCGTTTAACCTCAGCATTAGCCAACATCTTCACTGCTGCTTTTGTAAGGCGAATGTGCATGATTCTGCTTACCTTGGGAAAGTAAATTAAACTGGAATTTAAACTGATAGAAAATGTATAGAAGTCTATGGTGACATAAACTGGATTCATCTCATTGTAGCTATTGTGCATTCAACTAAACAATTCATTCATTTACTTGTCTCTTGAAGGCATGAGGTTCAGTAGTTGATCATTGGTACTTTAATCTTTATTTGGCAGCAAAATCAGTAAATTCGAATCATTACTTTAGGATGAATCATGACAGTAGAACAAGAGGACATAGGTTTAGAGTTGTAGAGGGTAACTTCAGAACAAGTGCTAGGAAGCTTTTCTTTACACAGAGGATAATCAATGACTAGAACAGGTGCCAGGAAAGATAGTAGAGACCAGGACACTGGATTCATTTAAAAAGCAGCTTGATGCTGTGATGTAGGAACAGTAGGGTGGGTGTTCTGTAAGGATGAGATATGTAAGGATATGTCGAAAGTTCTTCATCCAGTCCGATCTTGTGGGCTCAATTTGCTCTCTGTATTGTTGATACACAACAGGGGCTACCCCAATTTTTAAGAAATATTTTCAAATGTGACGTAGAGGTTTTTAAGAATATAATAACATTCCTTATGTTTGATATAACGCCTTCAAGTCAGAAGGATGTCTCAAGGAGCTTCACAGGATATACTGCAAAGTATATATTTTGGAGAATTTGGCAACCAGTTTGCAAATAGCAGTGTCCCACCAACAGCCATTAAGTAAATGACCAGTTTATTCTGGGGGAATGTTGGCCACAACACCAGAAGAATCTCTCTTCATTAATTTAAAAATAACCTTGTTCTATAGTTTGTAAGCTATGGAGTTTCAGTAACACTGTAAATCTAACAAGAATCTACAGGGATATTTGCTTCCCAGTGGCACGTTGTTCCTAGCTGCCCTGAGGAATCAAGTCTCGAGACTCATCTTGAAGACACCTGCTATGAAAAGAAATATAAAAATCTGATATGTCATCGACAAACTGCTTGTACCTCTATTTTATTCCATTTCCTGAAACCTGGTGCCCGAGCAGGAAATGTTTCCAGACACACATCTGGGCTTCGTTTGTGAACGTATGCACAATTGCTAGCCCAGTATGGTCCTTATAAAGCAAAGCCACACATTCCATTACAAAAAGCAACTTGTTTGTTTTGTAATTGTATGCCACCATTTGGTTCTTATCTCCATTCACAGCCAGGTGTGGCTCAGGTCACAAAACAATTTACAACCATTTACAGTAATTAGGTAACCATTGGAATCATACACAGGCACTGTATGTAGAGCATACTGCAAATTGTTCTGTTAAAACCTGCAGCATTGACGCCAAGCGGGCTTGTAAAAATCCTTTCCAATGCCATCTGTGCTCGATTAAAACTTATTAAGACTTATCTTTTCAACTGTTCTTTTGGCCACCTTACCCCATGTTCCCCCCAGTTCCCGCCCCTCCAGCTCGCTCTATCAGTCAGCTGTGTGAATCACTTTGAGGCATCCTCCCAATGTTAATGTGATGTGTAAAGGTAAATTGTTGTGGTTAATTCATGCAATAAACGGACAATTCTTTGACATTTCAATTGAAATGCATTCTAAAATCTTTTACAATAATCCTACCAGTTTAAATAACGGATCATAGAATTTAAAATATGGAACAAGGCCCAGTGAGCCCATGCTGGTGTTAGCTCCTCCTGGAGTAATAATAATAATATAATAATATTTATATGTGATATAGCACCTTTCATGTCCAGATAATATCTCAAAGCTCTTCACAGAATTTTTGTACAGTGTCTTGACTGTGTATTTTGTAGGCAGCCAATTTGCACATAGAAATGTCCCAAAACAGCCATGAAGTGAATGATCCATTTTATTGGGGGTTTGTTGGCCAGGCCACCAAGAGAAATTCCCTTCACTTTTTGAGTCGTACCATGGGATCTTTAACGTCCACCGAACAGGCAGAAGCAACCTTGGTTTAATATTGTTTAAGGTCTCATTGGAAAGATGGCACCTCCGTCTTTTGATGAGACATTAAACAATATTAAACTGGCCAATGTGTGGCTTGAAACTAAAATCTTCTGTTACAGATGTGAGAGTGCTACCAACTGAGTCAAACTGACACCTCTCACTCCACTCCTTAAAAATTAATCCCATCAACCAGCTCAGATCACCAGATTTTGCAACAGTGGCTGTTGTAATTTTAGTCTTTTTAAGACATGGACATTCCTGTGTAAGCAGTTTGCCTGTTATTTCTGGTCATGTTATGCAAGAGATGTGTATCTCATGAATTATTAATCACCACATTTTTTCTTTAACTCAAATCTGACAGGCTCATTTGTTTTGATACTAGGCTTTGTGAAAAACAAATTATATCATACTAATTGTGCCGATTGTGTCTTTTTGCCCCTCCAGCTGTCTCCCCTCCCCTCCCCACCCAATACACACACTTTTAATGTCTGCCTCAAGACTTATCTTGTTGACCGAGCTTTTGGTTATCTTTCCGCCTGCACCCTCTTTTGCTTTCCCACATTTGGCCTGGCTGCTCCGCCATCTGTGACAACTTTTTGAGATGTCCTCCCGACATGAAAGGTGCTAATTAATGTAAATTGTATTGTATATTCTGACATTACAGTCATTAATCCCCTCTACTTGCTTCCTTTATTACAGCTAATTGCACTCCAAAGTGCCTGAACGGAGGTATGTGTCTACGGCCCCAGTTTTGCGTGTGTAAACCTGGCACCAAAGGTAAAGCATGTGAGGAGAAGCCATCACATGGAACCCATTCCACAGGCACCCAAGACACCGTGGCACAGACTCAAGTTCTTCCTCAGCAGACCCAGTCACACAGGATGGTGCAAGCTCCTCAGAAGATGACTCTGACAGTCAAGCAGAAACCCATAATGATGCCACAACACATACAGCCGCAGTAAGTAATACGTTTACTGTGCTTCATAAATGGGACACTTCAAAAAGCTAAGAAGTAGCACATTGTGTTGTCCTGCATAGTAGCCTCCTGATCTGGAGTGTGGAGGGAGGGAGAGATCCCAGAAAGCAGTCTGTGGTGAACTGAAGTGAACGAAGTTCTCCCCTACCCAGTCAAGTGACTGTTCACGAAAAGCAGGCAGTCAATGTGAAGATGCTATAAGATCACTTCATGGGGTGCAGTTCAAGAATCCAGTCCATACCTACGTGCTGAGACATGTTATTCTAACCAAAAGAATTGCTTTTAATATTCTGAAATAGGTGGTTATTGTAGATGAAAATAGATGATTTAACTGAAAATGCAGGACTAGAAAATTCCCCATAAAATCACAGTTAGACTCCAGCTAATTCACTTCATGACCTTCTGCTTAAAAACTTTATTCTTGAATAAGATCTGGTTGAATACCTATTTTGGAGCAGAATTGAAGTTTTACGAACAATATCAGATTGAAATACTGTAGATTGAGTGATGCTTACAGGAAGTGCCAGAATAGGTTTCCGTACATTTAAACCAATCAAGAATATTCCCTTTTCGCATTTGCTTCAGTAAAGAAGCTGAGTGGGGCAGGGTTTACTGAGAACTGACCGAGTCCTGCAGACATCTTGCAGTGGACAGAAATAAGCCAATGTAATGAAAAGCTTTGTAAAATATGACAAAAACTCAGCCGCTCATATCATGATATCTTGGTATATCTCAGAGTTCATGATGAAGAAGGTTGTTCAAGTTCTGTGACCATTTCTGATTCTCATATCGCTGATGTAGACATGGCTTTGTAGTGAGCAGATTGTGAGCAGTCTCTCCTGGCGGAACTGTAGTTTGTATGACCTCAGTGGTTATAATGTTTGTTCCTCACTTCCTCATTCCCACCATTGTGGCTGAACCTCCTACTCTCTGGAACTCTGCTAAAATCGTTTCACCTTACACCTTCCTGCCTTCAAAACTCTTGTCAAAATCCCACTGCTGTGAAGCGCTTTTAGACATTTGTTGCATGTGAAGCATGTTGTAAAGTGCAATGATGCCTGTCAGCTTTCTCTAATTGAGGATGCTGAGCTTGGTTACAGGAAACCGAAGGTACATGCTTACTGTCTGCTCATGTTTATCACAACTTGTGATGATCTCTTTTCCCATTGCAGTTAAAATGCTAACGTGTAACATGATTCCCCATTTAAAATAACCATGATCAGCAAAACACAATCCAGAATCACGTATGGATCTGCTAAACTACCAGGGTGAGAGTTGATCCACATGTTTTGACTGCCTTTCACCATTTCTTCAACTTTGCTGTGATGTAATGAATCCCGACACAGCATTGTATTTCTTCACCGGCTGCTGCTCAATTGCTGGAAACTGCTGGATTTATTTTCAAGGTCAGGCTATTTGTGTTAATTTTAAAAACAAACTCGGAGCTGACCATCCAAGAACACAAGTGCCCAACTGCAATTTGCGTTACAGCAACAAAACGTGCTATGTTTGACATTTGACCCAGGCTTGTGTACTGAGCACTGAGACATTGCATCCTGTTGACATCCACTTCTGAACTTGCAATCTTGCGTGGCTCTCTATGTATTGTATCCAGTTCCCTCTACTGGTACAGACTCATTTGGGGTGTTGCACAGGAGGCGGCTGCCCTCTGATAACTTACTAGACTTACTTGCTTCCTCCCTTTCCTCCTTCAAGGCCGGTCTCAAAACCTTTCTCTTTGACCGTGCCTTCAGCTCCCCTCTCGACTCTCTTCCTCCTCCTCGCTCCCTCCCTTCCCTCCCCTCACCCTGACCATTTCCCCCCTCCTCTCTCCCTCCCTTCCCTCCCCTCACCCTGACCATTTCCCCCCTGCTCGGGTCATGACCCAACTGTGCAGCGCCTTGGGACGTCCTCCTGACGTGAAAGGCGCTCTATAAATGGAATCTTGTTGTTGTTGTTGTAGATGGTCATTTTCCACATAGGTGTCAGTCAGTCAGTACACATTCACTATATTTTACGCTCTATCTTATGAAGTGCTTTGAGATAATAAAAATAATCCTTGCATTTGGCACAGTGTCTTATCCTGTGATCGAGACCTCTCAAAGCTATTCACAGGATTTTACTTTGAAGTGTAGTGACTGTATTTGTCGGTAAACATGGCAGCCAATTGTCCACAGCATTGTCCCACAAACAGACATGAAGTATGTACCTTGGCCAGGACTCCAGGTGAAACTCTTTCTAATAGAATAGTTTCTTGAGATTTTTAACATCCACCTGAACAGGCAGACGGGACTTCAGTTTAATATTTCATATGAAGGCTGGCATCTCCAACAATGCAGCATAGCCTGGCCATTGAATTGGAATGTCAACCTAGACTTGCGAGTTCAAAGTTCCCAAAGTGTGGCTTGAATTCATAGCCTTCTGACTCAGCCAAGAATGCTTCCATCTGGGTCAGGCTGACACCTGAGACATTCTCCTGACACTAAGGGTGCTATATCAAATGTAATGGTTATTATTACATTATTATTATTAGTGAAGTCTGAGTACAGTGGTTCAGTAATAATATTAATAATAATAATAATCTTTGCATTTGATATAGCGCTTTTCACGTCGGGAGGACGTCCCAAAGCGCTTCACAGAGCACACTGTAAAGTGAATTGACTGTATATTTGTGGGCGAACGCGGCAGCCAATTGCGCTCAGCAATGTCCCACAAACAGTCGTAGATTGAAAATGACCAATTTATTATTGTTTTTGTTTTTGGAGGGATTACTATTAGGCGTGTGGAGTAAGGAAACTTGCCCAAGGTTTCACCCTGCCTGGAATTGAACTCAGGTCTCTCGCTTGCAAAGCGAGTGCTCTAACCACTGAGCTACAGGACTACAGTACCACTCGCAAAGCACCTCCATGTTTAGGGTTTAGAGTCCTGTAGCTCAGTGGTTAGAGCACTCGCTTTGCAAGCAAGACACCTGGGTTCAATTCCAGGCAGAGGGCGAAACCTTGGGCAAGTTTCCTTACTCCACACAGAGCCCTAATAATAATCCCTCCAAAAACAAAAACAATAATAAATTGGTCATTTTCAATCTACGACTGTTTGTGGGACATTGCTGTGCGCAATTGGCTGCCGCGTTCGCCCACAAATATACAGTCAATTCACTTTACAGTATATTCTGTGAAGCGCTTTGGGACGTCCTCCCGACGTGAAAAGCGCTATATCAAATGCAAGGATTATTATTATTATTATTATTAGGGCTAAGCTTGTGACAAATTGTGCATTTTTATTTGGTATCAGTCAGTTTCCCCTCAAAATTCTCTCTGTTTGCATACACGGTGGTGGTGGGAAGGGTGCGGGGAGGGGTAGAGTGGGGGTGGGCAGAGCCAGTAGACTGCTGAAAGCCATGAAGACTCTTAACACTGCACGATTCTGTATCTCACAGGCAGAATGTTGCACTGTTGTTGACAGGCATGTCTGTTAAAGAACTGTTTGACTTACCACAAACATTGTTCAAAGTCCTGATTTGCTTTTTAAGAGAGTAGTTTCAATAGCCTCCAGGTCTGGGAAATCCTCTTACCCTGGTGCAGCAAATCATTGAAGGGTGGGGTTGTGGGGGGCACTCCTGTGGTCAGACCCCATTGTGGGCTTGGACAATCCCATGTTTTTCTCAGAATTTCAGAAACATGTATGCGTGGGTTGAAACACATACATCACCAATGATGTGGGATGGAAAATATGGCCAATGAGTCATTAAAGCAAGGAAGTGATATAAACTTGGGGATTTGTTTGGGGGGCATCTGATCATGATTGATAATTTCCCAGTTCTTTGAAACCCTTCAAATCATGGTAAGAGCAGGAGCATTCTGCTACTTTTGACTTCTAAAAGATATGATTGGCATAGGGGAGCAATTACCAAAAGTAAAATAAAAATAATATCAACACTGCTTAACTTCTACCTAGTTGCGTAGAAGTCGAACAAAGGAAAAAAGAAATTGCAATTTTGTAGAGCCTTATCACGTCAAAAATACCTCAAAGCACCTCCCAAGAATTTCCGTGCAAGAGCAGTGACTGTTTTTGTAGAGAAGCACACAGATAAGGAGGAGGAGTGAGTGGAGGCGGGAAGGAAAGCTGATAAAAGACAATTTCTTCTGCGTCATTTACCACATACGTAGTGTACTACTTTACTGCGCTCATGCTTAACTGTGACCTTGCTCAGGGCTTGAATTAACCCATTAGTCTATTGTCTTTGCTCCTTATGTGCCTAGGTGCAACTCTGCTTATATGATCATTCTGGTATGTTTTGTGCTGGAATGAACTAAGAGTCAATAAAGTGCAAGACCACAGTCAAGGGTTCCCCCCTTTAGGTTCCCCCAAACAAATTGCAGGGTAAATATGCACAATGATCACTAGCAGATGGATGCTCAAACGTCAGTACTGATTGGGGTCACCGAACAATGTCTAGAAATGCAGTGTTTGCCGTGCAGTAATCCACATTCTCTCAGCTAATATGTGTCTACTAACAAGAGTTCTTGGAAATGTTTGGTTTCAGTTCTGTTTTATTCTTGGCTCTCGCCAACCTGTGACTAATACTCTCCAGAATTAGGTAAGCAGAATGCATCCCTCCAGGGAGAAAGCGCACATTCCATTCCAATATATGGGAATTTTCAGGTGTAGGTGCGATGCATGAAACCTCAGCTTGATTTGGATACTCGTAATCATGTGATAGGTTTCCACATGTCTCAGACACCCGGCTGACCAAACAACCTCCTATGTTTTATTGATCATTTCTTTCTTGAACTTTTCATCTGTCCGGCAAGAAGCCTACAGTTGACATACATTCATTGACCAGCGCTACGTGGAGGTGTTTTCTTTATTAGTTGCTGCAGAATGCAGGCAGTTTAAGCCCAATCCATTTGACTAAGATTTCTGGGAAGATTGTGTATCACAGTGGTATATTCCATAAGACTTTGCTGTATGTTTGGAAATTT